GGCAAGAACCCCCAAGAGAGCAGGCACCTCCCTTCCCCAGCCATGCTGTTCTGCATAAGCCCCCTCTGCAGCCTACCCCCCACCCCACCACCATCCCTCCAGAACAAGCCCTGCTCTTCAGCCTCATGAGGGGCCCCCGGAGGACAGGCACGGGGTCGAGGGGCCAGTGTTAGGGGGCTCCTTCGAACACGAAAATCAAAACCTCTCCTTTGGTTCCCGTGTGTCCCCTCACAAGGGAAAGGGCCATTTTGTTTGACGCCGGGGAACCAGCAAATTGGGGACCTCCCCTCCCCCCGGGCAGGATGAGTTAGTAACCAAGGAGGCCTCAGCGCCGGGCCTGGGGAAGCTGGGGCTAATTCTACACGTACAGGACTGACGGCTCCATCGGTGATGAGCCTGCTCCTGCCCGTGACACTGACCAGCTCACTCCGGTCTACAAACAGCTCCTTTGGGGTCAGTTCTCCAAGGCGCTGGCGGAGCGCCTCTCCCATAAAGAATGAAACAGGTAGCCAGGCAGCGCTCTCACCACTCCGCCACAGACCAGGTCTGTGGCCCTTTGTTGGCTGTGCGGCCACTTGGGGAGGGGGGAGACCAGGGGAGGTGTGCGTGGTGTGGAGGGGCTGACAGCTTTAGGGAGCACAGAGGACCCCATTAGGAAACGCATGCAAATCCCTTTAGGTTCCGTCCAAGCCACCCAGGAAGTAAAAATGGTGGTGGGACAACCACCTAAGAAAGAAGTTTCCGTTGCTTCTGAAAACACCCTGGGCCTCTGCCAAGTAGCTGGACTGCGTCTTAAGCTGGTTTCTGGCCATTTGCAATAGGGAAGTCTCAACCTATGGAAGTTTATCCTGGGGGAGGGGGGGCGAAATCCACTTTCTATCTAGAGCTTCAAAGCTTGGATTTGGGGGGGTGGGGGCGGGAATGACGAAAGAAAGAAAAAGAAAAAAGGGAACAGTTGCCCATCACACTCCCAGCCCCAAGTGAACATGTGGCCAACCCCCCCCCTCCCCGCCCCCCAGTCAAGCGCGGTCCCCAGATTCTGGAGAGCCATTTTGCAGAGATCTAGGGACAGGAAATGCCTAACAGAGCGTGAGAAAGAGAACCTGTTTTGCTGGTGGTCCCCGAAGGGCTCTGGAACCAACCTCTGGTCTGCCCAGCCGAGTTCTAGAGGGCCCCCAGGCAGCTGCCCACCCACCCCAGTAGCACCTGGCTCTGCCTGTTTGCGGGGGCAACGCTGCCCTCCGAGACCACAGAGGGTGCCCCGCACGCATCCCCACCCCTGCCCAGGCAAGTCTCTCGAATCCGAGTAAGTTTACCTTCGCAGATTGTTTGCTCTGCACATTCTTGAAGAAGGTGGTCTTGGCCGTGAAGAAGCAGTCCTCCAGCTCCTCCTCCAGGCTGCAGTACCCACTGCTCATGCTGCTGTCCACCGTCATCTAGCCGCGCGCGGACCGCAGCGCACCGGCCGGGCCGCCCGGGGCTGCGCCTCCTGGAGCGCAGAGCGCCATCGCGACACCTCCCCCGCCTGCCTGCGCCTTTCCTGCCCGGGGCGGCCAGGGCGCCTCTGAAGCCACTTCCTCTCGCAAGGTTCCTCAAAGCAGCGCTCAGCTGTCACGGCGCCCCTCCCTCCCTGCGCCTCTCCACCCACTCGGTGCCACTGGACCTAGGGCACCTCAGGTCGGATTAAGGATGCAGGGGAGAAATAGACGAGAAGCTATGAATTGGAGTTACTAGCTCTTAGTGTGAATGCACTGGGAATCAGGGATCCCAGGTACATGCAATGAGAAACAGATTCAATCATTCTCATCACGATGATGCTCCCGTTCAGTGTGGAAGGTGCTATAAGGTCAACCGTCCCTCCTCCTTCCCCCTCCCCGCCCTCTCATTCCCTAAGCACTGGGTGCAGAAGCCTCCTCCATCATGGGAGTCAGAGAAGACACTGGAGAAGAAGGGAATCGGTACTTGGCCTGCCGGGAGAGCAGCAGTAGTTTTACTTGGAAATGCCAGAAGACTCTGCTGGGTGGGGGGTAGGGGGCGGGGCACAAGTATATGCAAATCACATGCAAAGTTATGGCAACCTGGAGAGAAGCAGCCCTTACAGCCAGGGACCTTGACCTCTGGGAGCCTCAGGGAACTGAAGGAGCACGTAGACAACACCCTGTTTGTGCATTTCCCTGACGGCCTGGCCAAGGGGGGGATTTGCCAGACCTTGTCCTTACCACCATGGACAGCTCATTTACATTTCCCCATCAGCCTGGGTGAAGGACACCCTTCACAGCAATTAGGGCACCCCACGCACGCCCCCTTCCCCGCCCCCCCCACAACTTCCCAGACCACGTTCGGACACAGTAATTACAGCTGCCAGTGTTCACACAAGGGCTGCATGTGCCAGGTAATTTACATGCAGCTTGCCATTTAACTTTCCCAACAGCCTGGAGGTAGAGATTATTATTCCCATTTTATGGATGAGGGAACGGAGGCTCAGGGTTACACAGCAGGACAGGTGTGCTGGGACAGACCCACAGCTGTGCTATTCTAGGGCCTATGCTCTTAGCTACTGCGATGCAGTCATTCAGCAGAGGTGGGACTGTGTCGATGTGCACTCTGCCATCTTTCCACCCAGTGCAGCCCGGAGTCCCAGAAAAAGAAGACAAAGCCTTCAGAGCCTGGGGATGCTGGGGCATTGTGCTCACGGGGTCTGATGGCCTGTGGACCCTCGGAGCCCCCGCGAGCGCCCGAGAGGGGTCCTCAGGGCCCTCTCCAGGTCTGTGTGGCTTTTCCCGCAGCTCCGAAACAATGCGGTCCTGGGCACAAGGTGGGCAGAGGGCTAGACTCAGCCCCGACACTAAGCGGCCAGCTCCATTGTAAGCTCTGGTTCCTTTTCTAAGGAGCCCACTCCCTCCTCCACCTTAGCCAAATCTGTGCTCCAGGAGGTTTCAAACTGCAGCCCAATTTGGCTCCATCCTCCCACACAGTCTTCCTCCCAGAAGCCTGTGAGGCCTGGCAGGCACGAGCTGGCGAGAGCTGAGAGCCAGCACCTAGCTGCTGGCCGCCTGGGCTCAGAAGGCCCTTCATACCCGGGGCTGCCTCCCGGGACAGGGAGGTAATGAGGGGGGCAGGGGGGGGCGGTGGCGAGGTGAGCTTCGGGCTGCTTGAGGGGGAAGAGCTGACGTTGATGGGGTTGAAAGCAGGTTCTGGCTTCGTCTGGAGCAATCTTTTCTTCAAATGAGCATTTTAGAAACTATTTTGGGGGAGCGGGGTTTTCCCCAGAGACAGTGCTTCAGGCAAGGAGGCTGGTATTGGCTTTGGCAGTACCTCCAAGTCCAATGCCAACAGGATGAGCCCTGCAAAGAGGGGACTCGGCAGGATCCCGGCCATCACTAACAGCCTACCTGCTTGGTCCAGCCAGCAAAGAAACACTCTTTTCCTTTGTAAGAGGGACTTCTTGCTCGGTGGGAATCCAATATTTCAGGGGAAAAAAACAGGCCCAGCGTCTCTGTGGCCGCACTGTGTCCTTGGAGTCACGCAGGGGCCTCTGCAGAGCCGCTGCAGTGTCACGCGTCACAATGTGCATCTTAAAATACAGCTAGTGCCTTTTTTAAAACAGCAAGCCGGAGCGCCCCGGGAGTCCGCACGGGCCCCTCCATGTGAGCCACACACCAGAAAGCCAGACGCGGTCAGGAAAGGCTCTAAGTGACATTGTGTTCTTTTCGGTGTCGCTCCGGGCCATCGCAAATATTATGAAATCGTGATGTCTCAACAGGGCTTTTCAAAGCCCTTTTATCAGCCATTGCTTCACGGAGGTTGCTCTAGAGCTTCGAGAGCAGCTACTGTCCCTTTTTCACAGATGAGGAAACCGAGGGGAGCCACATGTTCCACCACAGCTCAGTCTTTTCAGAGCCTCTTAACTCCCCGTTAGTGTGTCTCGGGCCCACATCACCTGTCGATGAATCTAGGCCCAGAGAATCTAGGCTCCTGGAAAAAGTCAGCAAAACAGACTGTGCTGGTGAGGACCCCGGGACAGAAGAAATCCGCAGTGAGCATATATAATGCCATAAGCTGGCCAGCCTCCAGGAGGAAAACCCAGGCTGAAGCCCCAGGGGTCCTAAAGAGAGAAGACTGGGTTCCTGTCAGTGTCCAGTGGCCCCTTTACTATGAATAACCAGCAGGAGCGATAACCTGGCAGGGGCGAGGGGGGTCAGTGGGGTGAAGGGGACACAGAGAGCCTCCTTTTATGCACCTGGAGGTGAACACACAAAGGATGGGAACCGGCTGTCCTTGTCCCTGGGCCCAGGAAGGGGGGTCTGCACCTTAAGCAGCACATCCAGAACCCTAAATCCATGGCATCCTGCTGGGGTTCAGGGGCCTCGTTGAAATGGTGAGTGGGTGACTTTCCCGCCCCAAAGGGTCAGATGATGAAAAGCATGACGTTAGCTTTCTTCCTTCTCCAATGCAACCTGACATGTGGCCGGATCCCACTGTGAGATCCTCCCCGTGGTTCTTTTTGCTCCAGAAAAGCTGTGACGTAAAGGCTGGTTCTCTACTCCCCGCTCCACCTCCAGCGTGAGCACGCTCCCTGCCGCTTTGTTGCCCAAGTTCCCCTTCTAGACCAAGATCTGATCACCGTTGTTGTAATGTAAAACCTTCTAGTCCATTATCAACTAATAACTATTGAATAACTACTGTGTGTCAAGATCTAGTTGCTTATTCTTTCATACAGCCATCTAACAAATATGTACTGAGCACCTTCTACATGGCAAGCGCTAGCCTCGGTGTTCAAGTTCAGGCTCGAATATGGCATAGTCCCCGCCTTCTCATAACGTGCAGTCTAGTAGGACATGAAATAAGAAATTATAATTAGACTCACTGAACTCTTACACATTTCATTATCTCAATCCTCACAGCCCTGCCAGAAGGTAACTTACAGGAGAGTAAACTGAGGTTCAGAGTGGTCACACAGCAAGTAAACAGTAGAATCAGATTGCAAACCCAGAGCCTCTGTGTCTGACAATTTTCCATTGTAACTGCTGTCCTTCCTCCAATGACTCCAGTCTGAGTGGGTCCTTCAATGCCGAGTCAACAGTTCACACTCATCTCCAGCCACGATCAAGGTTCCCTTGATTCACTTTCCCAGCAGCCACCCTGCCCTCTTGTGGTTCGGTTCTTGCCTGTCAATATCCTCCTCCTGACTTCCTGACCCATATTCGCCAATAACCACTACCTGCCTCTCCGAAGCAACCTTTCCAGGTGTCCTCTCTGGGTTGCATCTTAAGAACGCTACCTTCTACCCCGCGAAGAGCATTTGACAGCACGAAACCGACGGTGCACAGTGGAGAGCTCCATTTCTCCCCAGATGGCTTCCTGTTATAAGAGGCGAGCGGCTGCACACCGCTTAGGTTAGACTCGCAGAAGGTTCGCTTTCTCGGGGGTTCTAGCCCACACTGCACTTCTCTTGCTTGGCTGCCAGGCTAGCAGCTTCGACAGGACACTCAAAGACACCGCGGCAGTTACGTGAGATACGGTCCTGAAGAGCTCCTGCCGGGTCTGAGTCAGGCCCCAGGAGTCTGCCTTCCAACTGTTCTCCTTTAGGAAGACCAGAGACGCACAAAAGGGGTGTCTGATCAACACCGCATCTCTCAGGGCCCCACTCCAGGCAAGGCCAGTCCTCCGATGGCCAGGGCAGTGTGGTCACAGTGGGAACAGGTCTTGTCCTACTACACATAGAGAGAGGGCTCTGTTGACTCCTCAGAGCCTCAGGCCTGACCTGGCCCAGCCCGAGGTCATCTCAGGCAAGCCTATTGCTTCCAGGATAGGAGCCTTGGCTGGGGCCGTGAGGAGCACAGAGAAATGTCACCAGTGCTTAAGGATTTCTAGAGAAATAAATACTAGAGCTCTATCCTCCTCAGAGCCAGGATTTTAAATAGTTCCTGTTTGGGAAGGCTTTCAGCTCTGCCTAGCCAGAAATGGGCTCCCGTGGGTCAGCCTGAGCTGCTCAGATAGGCTCTGGGGCAGCTCCTGTGGGAGGCTGACTGACTGCTGAGGTCAAATCCCTGACAGCTTTGGCCGGCACCTCTGGCTTCTAGAGCATGGAGGGAAACCTGTGGAGAGTGGAGTGGCTGTCCCAGATGTAGCCATAGCTTAGAGAGAGGCTGGGGACTGGCTCCTGCCTTTGGCACATGTAGGTAGGCTGGCAGTGGATGAGAGAAAATGGAATCATAAAGTATATTTAATCCAAAGAAGACAAAAAAAGAAAAAGAAAAAGGGAACAAAGAACAGATAGGACAAATAGAAAACAAATACTAAGATGACAGACTCAAATCTACTTGTATCAGTATTCACATTAAATGTAAATGATCTAAATAACCCAATTAAAGGGCAGAGATTATCTGACTGGATTAAAGAAACAAAGATCTAACTATTTGCTGTCTATAAGAAATGACCTTTGAATACAAAGACACAAATAGCCTAAAGGGAAAAGGATGAATAAAGAAATACCATCCTAATGGTAATCAAAAGAAAGCTGGATAGCAGACAAAGTAGATTTCAGAGCAAAGAATATAACCAGGGATAAGAAGGTTATTTTGTAATGTAAAGGGGTTAATTAACAAGATGAAATAATCATTCTAAATGTTTATGCGCTGAATAATGGAGCTTCAAAATACAGGAAGCT